ACATGGGATGCAACAAAAGCAGTCATAGGGAACTTTACAGCAATACAGGCCTACCTCAAAAAACAAGAAATTCTCAAAAAACCTAACCTTACACCTGAGGAGCTACAAAGGAAAAAAAAAGTACAAACAAACCCAAGGTTAGTAGAAGGAAAGAAATAAAGATCTGTGCAGAAATGAACAAAATAGAGACTAAACGGACAACGTAAAAGATCAATGAAACCGAGTTGGTTTTCTAAAAAGATCAACAACACTGAAAAAATTTTAGCCAGATTCATCAAAGAAAAAAGAGGATTCAAATAAAATCAGAAATGAAGGAGAAGAACTAGCAGCTGATGCCACAGAAATACAAAGGAGGACAAGGGGAGATGGAGAGGAGAAGGGAGTTGGGGGAAATTGGAAGGGGAGGTGAACCATGAGAGACTATGGACTCTGAAAAACAGTCTGAGGGTTTTGAAGGGGCAGGGGGGTGGGAGGTTGGGGGAACCAGGTGGTGGGCATTGGAGAGGGCACGGATTGCATGGAGCACTGGGTGTGGTGCAAAAATAATGAATACTGTTATGCTGAAAAAATAAAATTAAAAAAAATACAAAGTATTACAAGAACATATTATGAAAAGTTATATGCTCACATACTGGAGGACTTAGTCAAATGGATAAATTCCAGAAACATACCGTCTTCTAAAACTGAATCAGGAAGAAATAGAAGATTTGAACTGAGCAATTACTAGTAATGAAATTGAATCAATAATCAACAAATTCCCAACAAATAAAAGTTCCAGACCACATGGCTATACAGGTAAAGTCCACTAAACATTTAAAGAAGAGTTAATACCTATTCTTCACAAACTGTTCCAAAAAATGAAAGTGATGAAAACATCCTAACTCAATCTACAAGGCCAGCATTATTGTGAGATACCATAACCAGACTGAAGACACCACAAAATAAACAAAATCAGTTCACCTCAGTGGCTCAGTCAGTTAAGGGTCTGACTCTTGGTTTTGGCTCAAGTCATGATCTCAGGGTCCTAATATCAAGCCACACGTCAGGCTTCACACTCAGGGTAGTCTGCTTGTGCCCCTCCCTCTGTTCCCCCCTTACCCTGGAAAAAATGAAATCTTTAAAAAAAAAAAAAGTACAAAACAACCAACCAACCAACTACAGGCCAATACATCTGATGAACATAAATGCAAAAATCCTCAAACGATTATTACACCCAATGCAGCAACACATTAAAAAATTATTCACGGTGATCAAGGGGGATTTTTTTCCAGGTATGTAATGGTGCAAGTCAGTCAGTATGATACATCACATTAACAACCGGATAAAACCATAGGACCATCTGAAGAGATGCAGATTATAGCATTTGATATTTTCAACATTTTTTCATGATGAAAACTCTCAACAACGTGGGTGTAGAGGGAACAGAACTCGACATAATAAAGGCCATATATGACCAACCCACAGCTAACATCATACTCAGTGGTGAAAAACTGAGAACCTTCTCTCTAAGATCAGGAACAAAACAAGGGTTCCATTCCTGCCACTTTCATTCAACGTAGTGCTGGAAGTCCCAGCCATAGTAATCAGACTAGAAAAAGAAACAAAAGACATCCAAATTGCTCAGGAAGAAGTAAAGCTGTCAGTCTTTGTCGATGACATGTTACTATATATACTATATACAGAAAACCCTAAAGACACCACCAAAAACTATTAGAAATGATAAATGAATCCAGTCAAGTTGCAGGACACAAAATCAATATAAAGTGTGTCATGTCTCTATATACTAGTAACAAAGTAGCAGAAGGAAAAATTAAGGAAACAATTCAATTTACAGTTGCACCAAAAGATAAAATACCTAGGAATAAATTTAACCACACAGGTGAAAGTTCTAATCTCTGAAACCTACAAAACATTATTGAAAGAAATGGAAGATAAATGTAAAATCATAGCAGGCTTATGGATTTGAAGAATTAATATTGTTAAAATGTCTATATTACCCAAAGCAATATATAGATTAAATGCAATCTCCTTCAAAACATCTAGAGCATTTTTCCTACAACAAATAAAATTTGTGAAGAACCAGAAAAGGCCGTGAATGGCCAAACCAATCTTGAGAAAGAAGAACAAAGCTGGAGGTTTCACATCTCAGATTTCAAGATGCACTTACAAATCTGTAATAACCAAAACAATAAGGTACGGGCACCAAAAAAGACACAAAGATCAATGGAACAGGATAGAACTCAGAAATAAACCTAAACGTATATGGTTGATTAATAAGTAACAGAGGAGGCAAGAATATACAATGGAAAAAAGAATTTTCACAAAACATTTTTAAGAAACTGTGCAGCTACATGCAAAAAAATGAAACTGAACCACTTTCGTATACCACACACAAAAATAATCTTGAAATGGATAAAAGGCCGAAATGAGACACCTGAAACCATAAGACTCCTAGAGGAAAACAGAGAGTAATCTCTTTGCCATTGGCTTTAATAACATTTTTCTACATATGTCTCCTAAGGCAAGGGAAAGAAAAGCAAAAATAAACTTGGGACCCCACCAAAATAAAAAGCTTTTGTAAAAAAGCAAAGGAACCATAAGCAAAATGAGAGAGTAACCTACCAATGAGAGAAGATATTTGCCAATGATCTATCTGATAAAGGGTTAATATCCAAAATATAGAAAGAACTTATAGAACTCAGCATCACAAAAACAATCTGATTAAAAAATGGGCAGAGGACCTGAATAGACATTTTTCCAACTTCCAAAGAGACACGTGGATGGCCAACAAACACAAGGGAAGATGCTCAACATCACTCATCACCAGGGAAATGCTGAAGAGTCCCCCCGACCAAAACAAGACAAGACACCCGGACACAATGAGACCTCACCTTATACCAGTCAGACGGCTGCTATCACAACGCTGAGAACAGCAAGTGCTGGCAAGGATGTGGAGAAAAGGGAAACCTCGTCACTGTTGGTAGGAATGTACACTGCTACAGCCCACTGTGGAAGAGAATGTGGAGTTTCCTCCAAGTGTTAAAAACAGAAATGCCATATGATCCAGTAATTCCACTATCGGGTCTTTACCCCAAGAAAAAGAAAAAAGACTAATTCAAAAAGATACAAGCACCCCTGTGCTTATGGAAGCATTATTTACAGTTGCCAAACATGGAAGCGACCCAAGTGTTCGTCGACAGATGAATGGATCAATATGGGGCATATATGTATGTGTGTGTACATATCATATATCTGCATATATATTTATAACGGAGTACTATTCAGCTATAAAAAAGAATGTGCTTTTGCCATTTGCAACAACATTAATGGACCTAAGTACAGAGGCCACTTTTAGGCAAACAGGCTTTAGCAATGGAATGCAGAAAGGACCAGAGGGACCACCTGGCTGACTACATACAGGCCCATCCAGTGACCCCCCCCTCCACCCAACCAACCTCAAAACATCCACAGGCCCTAGCTGACCAATGGGTTACTTAAAACCAAGCACAGTGATCAAAAGGAGAATTCTATATGCCACCATACCTCCTCACCTTCTCTCTTTAAAAGCAGCCCACTGCCTTGTGGCAGACAACCCTCCTCTGCTGTCCTGCTCACCACTCGCCGCAGGTGTATTCAGTAAATATCTATCTCCTTTGTTCTGCCTCAGTGAATTCTTTCCTCTCCCCTGCCCCCAGCTTCCAGCTGATCATTGCCCCACATCTGGAGGCCCCCATCTGATTGAGAGACACTAGAACATATGACACTAAATGAAATAAGTCACAGAACAACCAATACCATAGGATTTCATTTATATGTGGCACCTAAAAACCAAAACAAAGAAAAGAGACCAAAAAACTGATGCTTAAGTACAGAGAACGAACTGCCGGTTGCCATCAGGGATGTAGGTGGGAGGATAGGTAAAATAAAGAGGATAAAGAACCACAGAGTCCCAATATAAAATAAGTCACGGAGATGAAAACTACAGCATAGGAAATATAGTCAATAATATTATAAAAACATTTTACGGTGACTTATGATTGACTGCACTTACCATGTGAACAGAGTAATGTATAGAATTGTCAAAGTAATATGTTATATGCTTGAAATTAATATATTGTATGTTAATTATACTTCAATAAAAATAGAAAAAGAAAAAATATCAATGGTCATTATTTCCACTCAACAGTTTTACATTATGATTTCTTAGTTATCCAAACCACGACACCACTTAGCTTGCAGAACAATGCCAAGCATAAAACCAAAGTCTAACATACAGGAGATAGTCACCTTAATCTAGAAAAGTGCATCCTACCAATGCATTTATTCATTAATTCAACAAATACTTAGAGAGTGCTTCTTTGTGTTAAGCATGTTCTGCAAGTTCTGGGAATGTAATGATGAGCTAGAACAGACATGGTCCCCGTACCTAGGAAGTGCAGTAACCAACAGGTGAACGGACATCTACCAGGGACAAAATACAGATGTGCTCAGCTGTCAGCTGTGTGTGTAGAGTTGTTAAATATGACCTTTAAGACAGAGTTTGAAGTTTAACTCTCTGCCCAATATATATTTAACTTCAGAGATTCATTATTTACCCTAATTATTCCAAAGAATAAAAGCAGACAAAATGTCTTTTCTCTCTCATTCCTCAGACCTTTATAAATATTGAGGAACATTTTGAAAATGTGAGGACTCTGGGTGTGATGCCGAAATCTCCAACACTTGCTCTCCTGTATTCAAACAGGTGTACCTCAGAAGGAGGGCAACTGTGGGAAATGACAAAGCCATGTTTACCTCTCAGTCAAGTCAAGCTCCTTGTGCACTCTCTCCTGGTGCGCGTGAACATTTGTGACAATTGCTACCTTTCAGACTGGGTGGACCTACACCTATCACCTTAGAGAATGACAAGATCAATAAATATAGGGTCTCACAAATCACAGGATGTTAGCTCAAGCCAAGGCCAAAGACAGGAGGAGGAGGAGAGGTCAGAGAACACTTACTGGTAAGTGGTGGGGCTGACATTGATGCGCCGAGGGTGACTTCCTGATTCGAATTTGCTTGCCAGAGTGACATTATTTCCAAACAGGCAATATCGTGGCATTCTCACTCCAACAATTCCAGCGAGCACAGAACCCGAGTGAATGCCTATCCTCATCTAAAAAAAAGAAAGAAAAATAAAAAGGATATATTTATGCTTTCTTTCGGCATGTAGTTCTTTTAGTGAAAAGTAATTTTGTAAGCCACTGAACTTGGATCTCCTCAAAGACAGGAACTGGGCCTTGGCCATTTTTGTGAGCCTGATATCTAGATCATTATAGTGCCAATGAACATGAATACCATGGAATCAATGAATACGTTAATTAACTACAGGAAAAAATTATGTTTAATTTGCTATATAAATCTGGTAATATTATAAGTCAAATCACATTTCTTCTGTACAGATTCTGTTGTAATATATAAAAAAATGTATATTCTCCCTCTAGTTATTCTTATATACAACCCTATTTTTTCCCTTCATAGAATTAAGCACAGTTATAAATTATATATATTTCTGTTTATTTTGTTTAAATGTTAGATTGTCCTGAGAGAAGGATCCATATCTATTTCCCAACTGCTGAATATTCAGTACTTAGTATTGTACTTAGAGCAAAGTAGGCCCTCAACAGTAAATGATAAATGTTGATAAATTGTCAGAATTCTTCAACATTATATTAAAATGAAGTTAATGAAGTTATAGAGAATTTAACCCTCAAGTCAGTCAAGAAGTGTCTACTGAAAACCCTGGAAAATAAATTAAGAGCCGTGTATTTTACACTCTGTGAATCTGATAAATACAGTCTGACCCATGTCTTCCATGTGCAGTTGGTATGTACTTAAACGTGATTAAGCAATGACATTGTATCTACAAAGTCTACACCAAAATAACTGAAGCTAATGTTGACCCAGCGGGAAATGATATCCTTACTGCTAAGGGAATGTGGGAGAGAAGGAAGAGATCTGACCCCTAGATGCCTACTACCTAAGTGAAATGTCACCCTTCACTACCACATCTGCTTTTGGCCCTGCAGTTGTCTTCACAGAATTCTGTGACTGACTTTTGTCATGGACTGGAGAGTTTAGTACTTATCAACTATTAGTAAGACAGGTTAAAACCAAGGTGATCTGGCTGGAATTCTTAATAAACCTCTTCATCTATTTTTTTAAAAACGATCCTAACACTGATTTGGAAATTCAACAGGCTAGCAAGGTACATTTCAGAAGGAAGAAAGAATATTTTCTTATTAGTATAAATGTATCTAATTAGTACGTGGATATCATAATACTGGTATCTAGACAGAGAAACAGACTAACAGAAGAGATCACATAGGAAGACTTCCATGCATATGTAGGTGGTTGATATACGATAGGGTTGGCATTTCAGATTAGTGAGAACAAGGTAGTATTTCCATTGGGCTGCTCTGGATCGAATGTATCTTCGTATTGAAAAAAAAAATTCCAAGTAGATTAAAGATCTTAATGTAGAAGGCACAACTTTACAGCTTCAAAACTAATTGTTTTAAGTAAGATAAAGGTCAATGTGCAGTATCAGTAATACTCTAAAACACAGAAATCCTAAAGGGTATACTTTGATCAGTTTCTCAGTAACAGTTTCCAGGGTGAGTGGTCCATATGGTCAGGAAGCTCTGTTAGATCAGGGACCAGTTCCTTATCACCAGGTTTCTCCTCATGCTTGTCACATATTCCTCATTGGGAAACCTGAAGCTGAATCAGGGGCATCATGTTCAAACTCACGATGGGGCAAAATAGACCCTTCCTGCCCAGGGGAGAGGTCATGACGTTGCCTCTTCAGGTGATCTTCATTCCTTTGGGAAGATCCAGATTTACATCTGCAATCATTTTCCTTCTGTCTAAAAGAATTTCTTAATTTTTGCACGATAGGTTCATGATGATGAATTCTTTTGGCTTTTGTACGTTTGATAAAGTCTTTATTTTGTCTTCCTATCTGACATATTTTCGCTGGGTATAGAATTCTAGGTTGACAGGGTTTTTCCCCCATCCGTGCCATACTTTAGTATGGCATTGTCTCCTTTGCATTGTTAACCATGAAAACACTACTGCCATCCTTTTCTTAATTCCTTTATATGTAATAGATCTTTTTTTTCTCCTGGTTGCTTTGAGTTTTTTCTATTTTTTGCTAGTTTTGCAAAATTTAGTTTCGATTTCTCTTGATGTTGTTTTCTTCACGTTTCTTACGCGTGGGGTTTGTTGGGTGTCTTGGATCTGTGGTTTTATAGTTTTCATCAAATTTGGAAGAATTTCAGCTATTCTTCAAATATGTTTTATATCCACCTTTCTCTCTCAGAGACTCCAAGTACATGTCTATTGGGATACTGAAAAGTATTTCCATGGTTGACTAATTTACTCATTTAAAATATTTTTTTCTGTTTATTTTGGATAACTTCTGTTGTAATGCCTTCAAATTTGCTAATCTTTTCTTTTGGAATGTCTAATCTTTTGTTAACCTTATCCGGGGCAAAAATTGTGGTTTTCATCTCTAGAAGTTCAATCTGGAAATTCTTTTTCTTTTTCAGGTATCAAATTACCTTTTGAACATATGGAATACAGTTAAAATAACTGTTTTAATACTTCGCTAATTCTAACAACTGTGAGTCTGTTTCAGTTTTGATTGGTCTTTCTCATCATTATGGGTCATATTTTTCAACTTTACAGTATGCTAGTAATTTTTGGTTGGATGTTAGGTATCATTAATTTGACTTTGTTGAGTGCTGGATATTTTTTTATATTCCTCTAAGATTTTATTTTATCTGAGAGAGAGAGTGAACGAGCACAAGCAGGGAAGAGTAGCAGAGGGAGAGGGAGAAGCAGACTCCCTGCTAAGCAGGGAGTCTGATGTGAGGCTTGATCCCAGGGCCCTGAGATCATGACCTGAGCCAAACACAGACACTTAAACCACTGAGCCACCTAGGTGTCCCTATTTTTCATAGTCTTGTAAATATTCTTGAATTCTACTTAGGGATGTAGTCAGATTATTTGGAAATAATTTGTTCTTTTTGAGTCTTGCTTTTTAAGATCTGCTGGGCAAGGCCTGAGGAGTATTTCATGTAGGGCTTGTTATTCCGCTAAGGCAAGAATACCACAGACCCAGTGCCCATGCTTTAGGAGGTACTCCAGTCTTCCTGATGGGAACAAGCATTTTTCCCCCCAGGTCCTGTGTGAGTGCCAAGAACCTTTTCCTCTAATCCTTCCAGGTGATTTTCCCTATTGGACTCAGTGGTCTCCTCACATACAAACAGTAATCAGTGCTGTGCAGAACACATAGGAGGCTCCGCAAGATCTCTGTGATTTTTGTGCAACTTTCTCCTTGCCAGTACTCTATCTGTGACCTCTGACTTCTCTGATCTCCCCAGACTCTCAGCTCTGTCTCTTCCACTCCAGGAGTTCATTGGATGCCTCCTGGTTTGCTTCTCCTTGCACCAGAGCCTGGACGTTCCCAAAGCAATAAATCAGGGAAATCATATGTCTCATCTTATTTGTTTCCTATATCTCAGGGGTCACTGCTTTCTAGTGGCCAGTGTCATACACTGTTCTACTGTATTTTTTTTCCTCCAGATTTTTAATTGTTTAAGGTAGAAGTATAAATCCAGTCTCTGTTATTCCATATTAAATGGGAGAAGTGAGATAATACTTTTTTTTAAGAAACTTATCTTTCTGAAAAATGTAGGCCTGTTTCTGATAAGTGACTATCTATTTAGGTTTAAAAAGGTTAAAAAAATGCTGAGTAATAATAGTCCTTTTAATCAATATAATTATAAACCACCTTTCTCTAAAGTTAGCAAAGGATTTTGCAATATTATTGTATTTCTTTAAGTTTCTTTTTGCTTTTACAAGGCATATTTATATTAAACTCCCTGTGTAATACTGGCTTGCCTGAAAAACACCCAGACCTCAGATACAAAGGTTGTCAGTTTGGGCCTATGATCACTGTACTGATTCCTTTAAGCAGGAGGCAAAAAGAAGTGAATATCACATTGACACATCTCACAGCCTCTTTATTCTGTGATTTTTGTTTGAGAAAAAGACTCCATGCCCCATACCAACTACATGGAAAGTTTATATGGTTCCACCAATGCTTCCTTTCAAAAGACCTGAGGGTTTTTTTAGCCAAATTATCAAAATGAGAATTATTATAACCTGAAAAATGTTGATGATCAAAACCCTGATATCTTGGGGTAGGTGGATGGAGAAGTGGTCATTTAAAAAAATTATCTCTTAGGGCGCCTGGGTGGCTCAGTGAGTTGGGCCGCTACCTTCGGCTCAGGTCATGATCTCAGGGTCCTGGGATCGAGTCCCGCATCAGGCTCTCTGCTCAGCAGGGAGCCTGCTTCCCTCTCTCTCTCTGCCTGCCTCTCTGTCTACTTGTGATCTCTCTCTTTCAAATAAATGAATAAAATCTTTAAAAAAAAAATTGTCTCTTAGAAGGCCACTGACAACATGCACAAACATATCAACAACCACACAAAGAGCACAAACCTGTTGTCCTTGTCTCTACCATATAATAAAATGAAATTCGGAGAATTATTTAATTGTGGAAGTAAGGAGATCTCATGGGAACTTACAAATGGAATCATCAGACTGTTTTATTTTGCATCTCCTTTGACAACTTATTGAGATTTCCAAGGAATTATTGCCTATCTACGGAAATAAGTGATTGCCTCTCTCAGAGTATATCAAGAACATCTAGAAGGTACACAAAATAGATACATTTAATGCTCATTGAGGAATACAGATTCACTTTGAAGAGATTTAACATTATTTAAATAATTTAACCACTCAGTACCATCAGCATCTATCTGCCCAGTACCTCCTAACTAAAGAGGGGGGATGCACACTAAACCAGGGGTTGTTACCTAGGGACATTTCCGCCCTTCAGCCAACATCTGGCAATGTCTTGAGACATTTTTTATTTTCACCACTGGGATGGGGAGCTGCTACTGGCATCTGCTCAGTCGAGCTAGAGATGCCCAGGACAACTTCCCCACAACAAAGGATTTTCCGGTCCAAAGTATCAGTAGTGCGGAGTCCAAGAAAACCTGCACTGAATGGACTTCCAGCAACTGATAGATACTTAGAAGA